GGTAGGCAATATGAGCTCATGGAAAGAACTGGTTAAGCAAAAAAGTAAACATTGTAGCTCCTTGCATAACCACTGGGCCATGGTACCCCTAAGGGTTAGCTGATGTGAAGTTCTTTCTAACAGGCCTGTCTCAGTGTGGGATTTTAGAGTGCGCCTATTGCCTGGCGAAGGATGTGCATCTGGGTCCCTCCCACTGGGTAGGACCTTCAGGAAAGGGATGCTCTGGGTTCTGTCCTGGCCAGCGTCTCACTGAGACCAGAACTTCGGGTCTCAGCCTCTCTCCTTTCTCAGTGGTATGGTCTTCTGTTGGAGTGTTCCAGACAGCCCATGGAGAGACCGCAGCAGTGGTTATACACAGCTGCACAGCATCCTCAGAGGGGGTGTAATCTGCTGCTTCCCACGTGGGCTGCATCAGGGGCTTCATCTAGCTTGGGAAAGCCACCAGGAGGGACCCAAGTCCTGGACCTGGGGAGGTTTCATGCCCCATTTCTCTAGGCTTGCTCTCAATTCCTGAAAGCTAGAGGCCCTTCACTCAGCACCATCCGTAGGCGGCCAGGTACGACTGTCCCAGAGAGGTTCAATGAACTCTTCCTGCGGGAGACTATCCCACCCACATGCTCATGGTGACAGCAGAAGCCTCAAGTCCACACACAGGGACAGGGAGCCTTGAAGATGGAGTCCCATGCCAGCCAGTGCTCTGCTAAGGAAACCTTAACCTTGAAGTCAGTGGCTCTGATAAAGGCAGATGTATTTCAGTAAGCCTGAGATCCCATGGGTGGTGACCCAATCACTCCCTGAGCACCTCTGGCTTTGGGTTATCTAGACCTCTGCCTTCCCAGTGGGATAGGGTGGCACCTCAGTCCACGGATGAGGACAGGGCAGGATAGCAGCCAGACCTCTCTCTTCGTGGGACCATCACAGGGAATTGGAATACTGGGTTCAAGGCTTGATTCAGCTCTTGCACTGTGTGACCCAGGCAGCCATATCTTTTCTAAGTATCTCTGTCCTTAGCTGGATGCTCTAGGCTGCTCCCTACCTAGCTACTCCCACAGCTGCCTGGAGGGTGACTGGGAGGACAGAAGGTGGGCCTGGGTCTCAGTGCTGAGCCCTGGCTCCTCCATGATGTACATACACATTCTAGGGGGCACCCATGCCTATGAGTCTCTCTTACTTACGTGGCACAGCAGATATGGTGTCTTCCCTAAGATAAACTTCAGGCCTCACACTCCATCTTGTCCCCATGCATCCCAGGCTCAGGCTAATCTCAGGCTGCTGCTTGCTCCTATCCACAACACTTCTGAGGGTACTGCCTCAAGGTCACTGTGCCCTCTGGGGCTAGCTCCACCCCCCAGTCACTGCCACTCTCTTCTGCCTTCTCCCAGCTCCACCCTCCCTGTCTCCTGTGGCCTCCAGGCCTGGTCACTCTGTCTTCCCTGTGGTGTTTCCCTCCACCAGGAGGCTTCATCTCTGCCCGTCCCTCCTGCCCTCTGCATGGCCCTGAGCCCTGGCTGTGAAGGCCTCTGTGAGCTCATGACAACTCCATGGTTATTTTTACATCTTTAGACGCCTTCCAGCTGCCTGCCCACATGGCCATTCAATGTCCAATGGGCTTCTTAGCCTCATCCGTCTAGGAAAGACCCTGGTCCCAGCTGTATCCCAGAAAGCCCTCCCCAGGCATCCTCTTCCCACGGCATCCCAGGAGCCAGCCTCTAGTCTCCACTGGCCTCTTGCCAACCTAGAGACAGTCCTGTGGCTCCTGCCTGGAGGACTGGGGCAGATTCAGAGAGCTGATGCTGAGGCTGCTTCTTCCTATGCTCCCAGGCCCAAGGTATCCCCTAATGGGACAGGAGTGTCTGAAGCTGTGCTATCACAGTGAGTCTATTCTCTGTGCAGTAGCCAAGGCTGGGCCAGCCTTCTGTGCTCAGTACCCTTAGAGCTAGCTTCTGGGCACAAGCCTTCCTGGCCCGCCTGCCTGTGACTCCGTCTTCTTATTCTCCTGGCCCTTCAAGTCTCTCTAGAGACCTCTGGGCTTTTGTCCTAACTGTTCCCTATGAGGCTGCTAAGCTGGGTCCTTGAGGGTTCATTTATTTGCTCATCCCCGAGGGGTTCCACCCCCGATACACACACACACACACACACACACACACACACACACACACACACGAGGACCCCGCCCACCATCTTGTTACCTGTTCTTCTCCATATAGTACTGTGCCAACAGTTAGCTGTTGGCTTGTATGTCCCAGTGTCTCCTTCCACTGGTCCAAGTTCACAGGAGATGGGACTGGGTGATAGCAGGGTGAGGGTGGGGCATGGGGCAGTTGCTGTGTACTCAGGCCCGCCTTGAGGGGGCCCTTTCCAGCTATCCATCCAGTTGCCTCCATGCCCAGGCCCATGGAGCCACAGCCAGAGGCTGAAGACTCTGGGGGTAGCTGCGGCTTCTGCAGCCAGTTCAGGGGCCCCTCCTGCAGCACTGAATGCCACCCTGTCCTATTTCTGTTGAACATGCAGATACTGTCCTGAAGCCTGTGTTAGCCTCTTGAAACTGCAACTTGGAAACCCAGGCACCACAAAGTGGCTCCCAGTTGTCCATCCCTGTGCAGGTCTAGGGGCAGAAGAGTGAGATTAAGCCATGGCAGGGCCAGATGCTCATCGCCTTGCTTTGCTCCTAGTGGCTCTGGGTAGACTTGACTTAGACCTTATGGCTCCACCCCCTTCCTGTGTCCATGTGACCTTTCTCATGCCTCACCTTCTGTCCCATCTGAGGGTGTGTCAGTGTCCCCAGGATAACTGAGGAGGTTGTCTCCCAATCCGCAGTTTTGATGTTCCCCACAACCCCCCTCAAGGCTGAAAGTGACCACCATTCAGCCTCTGTAGATGCAGGAAGGGGTTCACTGATTGTCAGTGTCCTGAGGCACAGGTTGAGAGTTTGTGTCCCCAGAAATCTGATAGATTGAGGGATGGCATCAGTCCACTAAGGATAAGGCCTCGGGGTCAAATATGGGGTCCTTCTTTGTGGCTCTTTAAACCAATCAAGCATCAGACTTAGCACCACTTGTGGAAAATTCTACCCTAGGGTAGAGATGGGCCAAACCCAGCCCACTGCCTCCTCCTGAGGAGTCACAGAAGCCTCCACAGCCTTCCTTCCCATGCTGCGCTGTGGGCTTAGTGAGTTGGGTGGTTGCGATGGAAGCCGCATCCCTGTGCAGCTAAGGTATTTACTGTCTGGTAGTTAAAGAACAGCTTATCGACACCATTCTTGATCCTATCATCGGGAGCATTGGCTTTCTGAACAAAGGGGGTGGCAATCTGCTGTCCCCGCAGCAGCAGGCTGCTCCTGGCTGAGTGCTAGCCTCACTTCTGTGCTAGCACAGGTAGAGGCTGAGCTACCATTGGAGCTTAAGGAGTCAGACAAGGACGTAGATGCTGGTCTTGACAGCTGTGCTGGGGGATGCTGGAGTTGCAGAGGTGGAGTGGGATGTGAGGAGGATGGTCGGGGGCTCTAGCCTGAGGGAGGCCTGCAGATGAGCACTGGAGGAGGCTGAGAAGATCCCAGGGTGGCAGTGCTGAGGCCTGAAGGACAGGCAGGTGTATGGACCAGGCTGGGGTGGTAGTGTGTCTGTTGGATGGGTAGCGAGGTCAGCCTCAGCAGGCAGCAGCAGAAGCAGGACATTGGCTCAGACGCTACTACCATCAGGGTGGGTTCTCCAGGGACGAAGGGCCTGGGACTCTGAGTCCTGCTTGCCCAGGGCCTGAGAGGTAAAAGGAGCCAGGGCTATTTGGTCACGGTGACCCGGTCATTGGCACACACTGGCACATCTCACCAAGATCAGCGGACAGCCAACCATGCAGGCTGCAGCTGAAAGTGGCGTGGGGATGCGTGAACAGATATTAAGCGCCCACCTCATGCGGGGTCTTTACACCTTCCCACATTTGGTTCTCAGGGCATTGGTTCAGGTGGGGTTCTGCAAGATGAGGACATGATTGACAGGTGGGGGGGATGTCATCTAGCCCTGCCATCCTGATTCTGGGGACCCATAGGGCCTTGACTATGCCCACCCCCATGCTTCCCATGATTTCCTTTGTGGATCCCAAGTATGTCCCTGGGTTTTATTTCTCAGGTATGTTTGGGGATGCTTGCGAGGGACACATTCTGGTTTTGTTGCCTTGTTGGATTTGCTTCCCTCTGGGCCCTGTTTCTTGCTTTGTGCCAGTGAATCTATCATTCAGGCTTTCTCACCTGTGTCTGAGAGAAACTGAGCCAGAATCCCTGAGGTGGCAGGTGGATTTCTGCGAGATTTTTCCCCCCTGATTGGGAATGATTTCCTGTTTTTTTTTTTTTTTTTTTGTGGTTATAAACAATGGACAAGTTCCCAAACAGTAAGTGGAAGCCGCGCCCCCCCCCCGTTTGTTTTAGCAGAAGGAAGGGTTTATTTGGGGCTTATGGCTCCAGAGGGATGAGAGTCCATTACCACATGGTGGAGAGCATGCCACCTGGCAGGCAGGCATGGTGCTGGAGCAGAAGCTGAGAGCTCACATCTGCATCCACAAACACCAAGCAGAGAGAGCTAACTCAAAATGGCGGGACACCTCAAAGGCCACCCCCCAGTGACACACTTTCTCCACAAGACCACACCTCCTAAATGAAACCCACCAGCTGGAGACCACGTATTAAAACATCTGGGCCTATGGGGGCCGTTCTTGTTCAAACCACCACACTCCACTCTCTGACCCCCACAGACTTGGGGTGATCTTTTAATATAAAATGTATTTAGTCCACCTTCAAAGTCTCCATGTCTTTCAGTCCCAGCACTGTTGAAAAGTCCAAAGTCCAACATCTCACCCGAGACTCAAGACAGTCTCTTAACTGTGACCCCAGTTTCAGAGGGATAAGAGGTGATTGCCAGCCAGGCGGCGGTGGCACTCAGGAGGCAGAGCCAGGTGGATCTCTGTGAGTTCGAGGCCAGCTTGGTCTACAGAGTGAGATCCAGGACAGGCACCAAAACTACACAGAGAAACCCTGTCTCGAAAAAAAACAACAACAAACCCTCCCCCCCAAAAAACAAAACAAAACAAAAAAGAAAAGAAAAAACAAAGCATCGATTGCCACCATGTTGAGGAGCGTGACAGCAGGCAGGCATGGCGCTGGAGCGGCAACTAAGGGCTCACAGCTCAGTCCACAAACAGGAGGCAGAGGGCCTAGCTGCTTCTGGAGATGAGGTCTCACATAGTCCGTAGCTACTTGCTGAGCAGCTGAGGCTGGTGGCCCTCCTGCCTTTACCTCCTTAGTTTGGTAAGGTTGTACACACCTGTGCTTATTGGTGAGCATGCTGCCTGGCTGCTCGCCCACTACAGGACCCTGTTGGGTAGTAGGGGAAGAGACTGTGGCTCTCGTGGAAAGCTAGCTGCTATCAGATTCCATGCATGGTCCTGGCTCTCAGACTCTGGGTAGGGAAGGAAGGAAAACCACAGAGGCTCTGGGAGTCATGATTGGGACTCGGGTTGTTGTATAGGTTTGCTGAGGCTGTTTGCAGGAATGTCTGACTTGCAGAGGTCAGAGGCATTGCTCTGTGGTCCTTGTGGGGTTTTCTCCACCCTCTCCTCGGTGTAGTCCAATATACCCATTCATTGAGTGCCACGCACTATTTGGGGTTGCCTCTCATGAAAGTGTTTTGGTGTTTGCATTAGGCCCATGAGCCTATACCCTCCTCACAGGTAGGCATCCTGGGGTCCTGGTGCTGCTGGTGTGGAGGCCTGGTGACTGGAGGACCTTCTGACTAAGGCTGATGGTGGCTATTGAGGGCAGGGAGATATAAGCATGCCTTGCACCAGATTACCCAGCTTCTCCAGGAGGATTTACCTGATGCCACAAGGGGAGTGACACTCCTGGGGTGCAGTGCAGTGGCAGTGTTGACAGCTCCAAGGCAGACAGGAAACACACTTGGGGTGCAGTTCCAAGATGCCTTTGCTCTGGAGGTCCTGGGAGTGGAGACTCAGTCCTCTCCACTGCAGCCAGGTTAGACACACTCACCATACCACACAGGCTGGGCATAAAGAGGCCAGAAGCGTGGGGTTTGGAGTCGGCCCTATGGTCTGTTGGCATGAATACCTGGTAGGCTTCAGATACCCAGAGCAGGGGTAGTTTGGGCTTGCTCTTGTGCTGTGGCCTCTCACTGATGGCCTCTCGCCTGTCTGAACAGACTGCCTGCTGATGCTGGTCTACAAGGACAGGTGTGAACGCTCCAAGGGTCTGCGGGAGCGCAGCAGTCTCACCCTGGAGGACATCTGTGGCCTGGAGCCTTCTCTGCCCTATGAAGGCCTGGCCCACACTCTGGCCATCATCTGCCTGTCCCAGGCCGTCATGCTGGGCTTCGATAGCCATGAGGCCATGTGTGCCTGGGACACCCGTATCCGCTATGCGTTGGGCGAAGGTAAGTAACATGAGTTCAGGGTTTGAGGTGAGGCCCTAGGGCCCTTCACCAGTGTGGGCTGCAGAGGTGGGTGAGACCCCAGGAAATCTTGTAGAAAAGATGAAAATGGGTGGATGTCTCGGAGTGAAAGAGGAGGGTGGGCCCTTGGGGTGCCATAGCTCTTTGAGGTCCCTAAAGTGGCTCTGTTAAAGCTGGGACCCTTAGCTAACCAAGGTAGCCCCAACCTCACTCTGTGTCCCATCTGTTCTGTACCATCCCAGAGCCCATGCAGAGGGGTCAGCGGGAGCCACTGGGATCGAACTTCAGAGGCTCAGGGTGGAAGGAGGGAACCAATTCCCCCAAATTGTCTTCTGATCTCCACAGGCACACTGTGGCATGTGTGCACCTGCACCCACATCACACACACACACACACACACACACACACACACACACACACACACACACACAATGGTCATGATGATGGTGATAAGTGAATAAATAAAACACATTGCCTACACATGCTGAGGTTTAGGCAGCTGAGGTAGAAGCTTTGCTTTCATCCATAAGAACAATGGAGCCTGGTGGACAGTCCCAGAGCTGTGGTGTGGACAGTGCAGTGAAGGTACAGGGCAGGCAGTGTTAGTGTAGAAGCTCCCATTTTTCCAGAGAATTCTCTGGTGGTGGTTCATAGCTTGGTTGTAGTCCCCTACCCCCTAATCCAGGTAAGGCGGGGGGGGGGGGGGGGGTCATCCCACAAGATGGTGGGCTTCCCAGGTCTCTCTATAGATGTCAAAAGAGAACTGGTGTGGATTGACAGACTCCTGTCGACCCAAGAGTGGATTTGTCAATGACAGACCCAAGGCCACAGCTTGGGAGAGGACCAGGTGGCATCATCACTAGGGTCCCTCTGGCTCTGGGGTCTGGAGATGAAGTGGGCAGGAGGCTGGCACACAGGCACTGCAGGCCGGCAGGCTGTTGCTGGCTCACAGGCCTGGGCTGCCTTCTGAAGTGGGGTGATGTAGGAGAGTTGGGAGGGAGGGACTGCTTCTGGCCATGCTCCTTAAGGGCTTTCGGGGCAAAGGGCGGAGCTGAAGTAGTGGACAGGACCATGGCAGCATCCAGCTGCTGCTGAGCCATGCTAGCCTCAGGCAGACCTGCCTTCTGCTTTGGACACAGGATGAAACCTACTCCACCCCACGCTCTGATGTGGGACCTCCTGGACTTTGCTTTTCCATCTCTGAAACTGCACCACATTGGCTGTCTTGATGGGAGGGTCCCTAAGGAGAGGCCTTAGTGCATGGGACCTGCCCTAAATACGTTGGGGAGGGATGGGCAGGGGTCACTCCCGTCAGAGGACTTGCTTACCTCTGTTAAGGAAGACGCTGGAATCTGGGCAGGATGTACGTGGAGCTCACTGATGGCCTTAGCACTTCCTGACATTTGTCATTTACTCTTGGCTGGGTGGCTGTGAGGGAATGTCACCAGCGTGACCCTAGACTACTTACTATTCCTTCTTCCACTTCAGTCTGGTAATGCCCTTTTGCCCGCTGTCTGGCCCTCAGTGCATAGGTTCCATGTGACGGTAGCTCCTGGCACCAAGCTGGAGAGTGGTCCAGCCACTCTCCACCTCTGCAATGACATCCTTGTTCTGGCCAAAGACATCCCTCCGGCCGTCATGGGGCAGTGGAAGCTGTCTGACCTCCGTCGCTATGGGGCTGTGCCGAATGGATTCATCTTCGAAGGCGGGACCAGGTGTGGGTACTGTAAGTATGCGGTGCGTGGCGGGTGCTGGGGACGCTTGAGCTGACTGGCTTACGCATGTTGGCTTGGGGACCTGACAGGAGGCTCTGGGCTGTGTCCCCAAGCAACAGGGCTGTGGCCGCTCCAGCTGGGCATGGTACTCAGCACTGAGCCTGGACCCTGGCTGTTTCTGGGGCTGGGAGGGAGCTTGAGTGATCCTGGGAAACTCCAGAGAACAGCCCAGTATCACTGTGTGAGGTCACAGTGTCGGAGTTCCTTCTGTTCAAATTGAATGACAAAAATACAGAAAGTGAGGCCATGAGTGAGGTCCCATGGGTGCCACAGTTGAAGTGCCTTCACTGACCCAGAATTCCTCTAGACACACCAGCTGCCTCGGCTGCTGAGCTGCCCAGAGCTGCCTGAATGTCAGCAATGAGATGGCCACATGTGGGAAGGGTGCGTCTGGCCTCTGGGAGGTGTAAAGTTCCTCACGGCCATTCCGTATGGTCCTCAGCTCAGGTGTGACCATGGGGGGGGGGTGTGAATGCAGAGGGTGACATGGGACAGGCATGATGGCCTGGTGTCTGGTAGCCAGGATGAGAACTCAGTGGGTGGGTGGTATTTGGAGGACACTGAGGCCTTTCTTACCAGGAATGAAGTCTTCCAGTGACCTCTCCCTACTTGTCTCTCTAAGGGGACGGTGTACACAGTAGTGGAGTACAGACTTATAGTCCCTGAGGGAACAGAGCCCTTCTTCCCTCTTAGAAGCCAATTGCACTATGCCTTTGAGCTGACCGCCCACGGTGCTCATCCTCCTGGCAACCTGGCCTCATGGGGCCGATGTGACTATGGTTGGTTGCTGTTAAGGCTATTAAGTTTAGGGAGCCCCTGCTATCTAGAGGCCCGGACCTTGAGTAGTAGAATTCCTAGGACAGGCGGCGGAGACTCCTGTAGCCTGTCCACTCACCTCCCCTTGCCAAAGGGGTAATCCTGACCTACGCTGGGGTGTGAGGAAGGTGTGAGACGTACGAGTTTGGGCTCAGCATGGCCTGACTGGATGTGTATCCACAGGGACCTGGGAGTGATGCCTCCCTCTCTTTGGATGGCATAGATATGTGTTGTGCTGGTCACTGGCTGCCTGGACCCCATGCCCTGCAAAGGGCTGAGGTGGACACCGTGCCCCACAGTCTCTGTTGGATACTAGGGGCAGACAGTGAGCCTCTGAGTGGGAGGCAGTCCCATGGGGACCTTTGAGGGGGTGAGGTGTGATCTGAAGAGATGCTTAGCAAAGGGGTACACGAGGTGATGAGGCAAGGCAACATGCTTCCCGGACAAAGAGGCAGCATGACATCCCAGCGCTGTGGCAAGCACGGCCACTTCCCGTGCCAGCTGCGGTGCTCAGTCTTCTCCCTTGGCAGGTCTCAAGAGCAGAGGATTCCAGGGTGACCTGTGGTTGGGGTGGTGGGATGGCCAGTTGGTCTCCTCTGTTATTGGATAACTGGGAACTATAGGTCAGTCAGTCACGCTGTGGCCTCTCCCTCCTGGGAGCCTCTGGATTTGGGAGTTCCTAGAGTCACTCTGATTGAGCATGATGGAATCCTTGCTTCTGTCTGTGGGATTCCCAGGTCCAGGGTACGCGTGGTGCTGGCCAGCATGCCCTCCAGGCCAGGCAGTCCTCTCAGGTGGCCTGGGCCAGAGGACCCATTTCCATGGAGGCCTGTTCACTTTGTCTGGGCTCCTGTGTCTTAGAGCCTGCCACGCCTTTCTCCTCTGGGCCCTCTGAGTGTACAGCTTGGTCTCTTGGTGGGGCTCCGTTCTGCTTGTCACCATCCTGGGCACTGAATGGTAGCGCCGCTGAGAAGGCAAGCATCTGACCTGGGCTGTTGTGTTTTCTCTGTGGCTGTGGTAAACTATTCAGGGCTGACCCGAGGCTTCTGAGCAAGGTCCTGAATTAGCTTGTCAACTGCAGGAATCTGCCTGGAACCACTGTGCCTGGAGCCGGCTAGTCTGGGTCCTGCTTCATAACCCTGGCACTGGCACTGCTGGGAATTCTCTCCCTCCAGACGAAATCCTACTTGGCCCATGGGTCACTGGCTGCTGGAAAAAGCCGTGTGGTGACCATGGTTAGGTGCTGCGTCAGGGCCAGGGAGGCCTCTGCTGTCTAGAGGCCTGGACCTTGAGTAGTAGAATTCCCAGGACAGGCGGTGGAGGCAACTCTGTAATCTGTCCACCCTCCCTCCCCTTGTTAGGAGTGTAGCCCTGACCTACGCTGGGGTGTGAGAAGGGTGTGAGATGTAAGAGTTTGGACTCAGCCCCTGTGTAGCACAGTCAGGCTCAGCACGGCCTGACTGGATGTGTATCCACAGGGACCTGGGAGTGATGCCCCCACCACTTCCCTGGGAAGGTCAGTATGGAGGGACCAACGAGGAAAGCCCACCCCTCTGTCCCTGCCAGGTGCCCTGGAGCTCTGGTCTCCAATAGGGACAAGCTTGACTCTACTCCAGCTGGTCACAGAAACTGATGCAGCCATGCTGTGACTCCTTGACACAACATGGGACACACAGGGCCGGTGGGCAGAAAAGTGGCTGGAGGCCATGCACCTGCCCTGCATGTGGGCAGACCCAGGAAAGGAACTGCGGCCCAGTGTGGCTCATGGAGCCCCAGGCATCTGCACTGGACCACAGACCAGGATGAGGTTGTTAAGGCAACAGAAATTGGCTCCTCTGTAGTTTGGGGTCAACAGTCCCCAACGTGAGGCTCTTCCTCTAGAGCTTCTGGGTTATTCCTGATTTCCTCAGTAACTGTGTTCCTGGTGTCCCAGCTGGTGTCTCCTCTGTCTCTCTCTCTCTCTCATGAGGACTGTCACTGGCTGTATGTAGGGCCACCTGGATCAGCCAGGATAGTGTTGTGCCCACATTCCAACCCAGCTCACCGGCAAAGACCCTTTCCATATACACATGGGCAGGTCTTTTGGAAGCCACCATTTAGCCATGATGGTTATAAAAATTGAGTCATGGTACATATAACTTTGCCATATCTAACTTGGAGGACAGATGGCTAGAGGGCATTATCAGAAGGCCTTGGAAGATCTTGAGTATATAAAATCAACATTCTCTTTCACCCCTGAGGACAGACCCCAGCCTGGCCCTGTCCTTTCTAGACCATGCCCTGTGGTTCTGCCCTAGCCTACTCCCCAGAGAGCACAGAGGGGACTTTGTCCCCAAGGTTGCTTTTCATCCACTCAAACTTGTTGGTTTGTCTGGGTGTCAGGGACCTGGTGGGGAAGAGATTTGCTGGAGCCACTTGCTCTGGGACAGGCACCCCAGGAGAGAGAGGAAAGACTAGGAAGAGAAGGCCTGTCGGGGAAGGTGGAGGAGGCTGACATTAAGGACGAGCAGAGGTTTCTAGAGGGAACTAACCCGGGAAGTCCCTGCTCCTGCCAGCTGCAGGGCTTTTCAGGACCATCTCCATGCCCTGTCCCCAGAACGGCAGGATCCTCTACTGCTAAGAATTCAGTCGGTGTCAGACATCAGGAAGATGCCAGGCTGTCCCCGAGTCTGAGTCAGATCATCTTGGTGGCTTTCTCCGGTACTGTGCCTATCCTGGCCTTTCTTCTGTGGAATCTCCTTAAGAGTCCCCAGGAAGTGCATCTCAGGACTGGTCCCTCTTCTTGGCATCATTTCTGGCCCCAGCATCCCTCCACTCACAATCATGGCCACTGGAGACAGGTTGCAGCCCCCTGTGGTGGTATCTGGCAAACATAGATTTGAAGCAAATAGCCATGTATGATTCTGACCCAGGGAAGTGAAATATAACCTCATGGGTTCTCACAGAGACATGGAGTCCTGGAGAAAGACAAGAGACAGGGAGGGACACAGAGGGACTGGAGAGCTGACCCAGGCTGGGCACTTGGGAATGACACCAACAGGCCCCACAGCACAGTCTGGAAGGGCCAGAGGGGCCTAGAAGATTCTGGTTTCTCTCCAGACAAGAACAGGAAGCTTTAGCCGCACAGTAGCTGTAGCAGGGTATTGGTGGTCTCCAGGAGCACCATCTGCAAGGTGACTGTGGGAGAGGCAGGACCTCTTGCTGAGGTGGGGGCAGCAGGATCAGGGCTGGGCTGAGGACCCTTGGCTCTTGGAGCCCAGTGCCTTCCTAGTGCTTTGTTCATGGCCAGCAGGGGTAGCGATGCAGGCATCCCAGACAGGAGTCATCCGGTACAAAGCTCTTGGACTCAGTAGTAGTGGGGTGACAGTGACATTCAAGAGATGTGGCTGTGTGCAGAGACTTCTCTGTGGCCTCCAGAGAAGATCCTGCATTCCGTGGCTGGTACTGAGTCAGGCCCCTGTGGCTGCCTGTCACGGTTCTCCAGGCCTGGGGCCATGTCTCCAGTGGCTTTGCAGGTTCTGCTGGCCTGGATTTGAGTGGACTCTCTCTCTTTGTAGTCGTATAGTGACATCAGCATACGGAGTGAGTCCAGGCCCCATCAGTGTGGTATCTGCTGTCACACAAGGTCCAGGCTGGCCATGGTGGGCTTCCTGAGAGCTGCCCTACAGGACACCGAGAGAGACACATCTAAGGGAGCACACGGTCCCTAGCTCATGGGCCCCACCCCTACCGTAGCTCAGTTTTGAAGAAGAGGAGACTGAGGCATGGGCTGCCATGGGTACTCGTGGCCGTGTGGGGGCAGTGACGGAAGTGGTGCAGCCCATGCCTTGCTGCTTGTCTGTGCAGCTGTTCCTGAGGCAGGGTGGGGCTGGCTGCTTACCCCAAGCCTCCATCCGCCACGTGCCAGCCCTTCTTCCTCTTGAGGAACAAAAGGCCTTCTTGGGCAGAGTGGGTACCAAGCTGGAGCCAGGGAGCAGGACCAGCTGCTGGGTAATTCAGACACGGCCAGCTGTCAGCCGCTACCATCTGTGTCCTCTGGGGGCTGACTTGTCACGAGCTGTTAGAGAGGAGAGGCAGTGTCCTCTGACCTCTGAGACAGGCCATGTGACCTCCTGGGGTGCATGGAGGCTCCGTGCCTCAGCTCAGGCTGCTACATAGGAGAACCTGGCTTCCTAGACAGGAACCTCACCCTTTGGGGATGCCAGTGATGGTGTGTGGCTAACTGCAATTGTGATGGAACCCAATGCCTTGACTTCCTCATCTGGACAGGAGAGCAAGTGTCAACTCCCACCGAGGAACTCCCTCCTGAGGTGGCCCTGTGTACCGACAGTGTGCCTGAGCTTGGACTTGGGGGGTCCCCTCTTCCTGAGGTTTGGAAGGGAGCCCCCCATGCCCAACCAGGACCTCGGCTTGGTCTTCAAGAAACAGAAGAGTCTGGGCCTATTAGGTCCTGTGCTGGTGTAGACTGTGTAGGTTAGCAGGAACCCCCAAGGCCCAAAGTGGATGCAGGAGAGCAGAAGCAGGCAGAGGATTGGGAGTCATGAAGGAGTGGCCTCACCTGGGCCTGCAGAGCATTCCATGGGTCGATGAAGGTGATGTCAAGGGTACCCAGGGACAAGCTGACAGGGTCTGTAGCTGATGTCCCTCACTCTGCTCTGGAAGATGCTGGTCCTCGCTGGGCCAAGCCTGAGACACTTTGAATTATGTGTATATCTAGAGGTCATTGTCATAGTCATGTCAAGGGTCTTCTCCACTAGAGCTAAAGCAGGTACATCCCAAGAGCTCCTGGCTCCTCCTCTTCGGGTCCTTGTATTCCCCATTGCCATGTAGTAAATGCCCTGAGTGTAGTGTCTGTTCTACTGCGTATCGTTCTGGGTCAGGGTTCTGGGTAGGGATCCACGAGGTGGCTCATCCCTGTCCCACCAGACACAGATTGGGTCACTCAAACAGTGAAAGCCAGGATGATGGTGTCAGGGTCTGTGCTTGGTAGGGAGGCCACAGTTCCTCTTGGAACCTCCTTTTCTAGCAGAATAGCTGGGCTTTTCTGCATGGTGGGTGGTTCCAAGAGGGCACAAGTGGGTGGCGCCAGGCTCCCTCAGTGGCCTCCTCCCAGAACTGGAAGAGTAGAGAGTTACCTTTGTTACTTTATACCACTCGGAGGAGGCTCAGGCTGGCCCTGGGGCGGTGAAGGACGGTGACCTTGCCTCCCGGGTGGGCAGGCGCATGGACAGGGAACCCGGGCTCTACCCTTTCTTAGGACATACAAGCCAATAAGCAACACAGAGAAGTCCCCGGAGGTGTCTTTTCATTCTCACTTAAGGGTGGCCCCTCTGGCAGCAGGTCCTGAGAGGTCAATGGGCCACTGTCACACAGTGCTTGGTCTGGGGTCGAGTGCAACAGACAGGTAAAGGGATGTGAGGCAGAGCACGGACCACAAGGTTCTGTCTCAGAAGTGAAAGCATCTCAGGATGAACATCTGGCTTCCTTAGATGGGGGTAAAGGTCAGGGTTCGGAACGACTTAATAAAAGGTGCTGTCTTAAAGGACGTTGTGACAGGCTAAGGAGTATGGATGGGCATCTCTCATGTGGAGGCACGCTAGGTAGGGCAGGCATGTTTAGGAGCCCAGGGTGATTCTGAGAGCCCCAGGCAAGTAGAGAGGACAGGGGGCACAGGGTAGGAAATAGAAATGTATCCCAGAGAAGCCTCATCCCTGGACTCTGAGGGCCCAGGTTAATGGGCCCTTGAAGATGGGTGTCCTCCAGAGCTGTACATAGGGTGGCTAGCGGGGATGCCATATGGGCACTTGGGGCCCGGATTGGTAGCTGCTGGGCTCCTGGACCTTATCTGGCTCCTGGACCTTGTCTGGCTGACTGCATCTCCTGGGGGAGCATGATACTCCGCAGACGCCGCCGTGGTGGAATGCAGGGCCGGCTCCACTCCCTTCGGTAATGTGGTTTTTTATAGTCGGGGGACCGATTGTCCTGTGTCTTCTGCCAGCTGCCTGTAAGCTCAGGATTAGAGGCCTGGCCTTCCATGAGAGCTGGGGCCAGACCGGCTGAGCCCTCCAGTGGGTGGGGTGGGAGATGGGGACAGGGAGCAAGCCCGGGATGCTTTGTGTGAACCGGCCAGCAGATGATGGCCAGCCTGATGAGCATGCTTCACTTAACTAAGGCCCAGCAGGGTTCTTGGCTTGCAGAGGCCAGCTGCCAGCTCCCTTTCTGAGCCAGCGAGCCTCTGGAGGTGGCCTCCTGGGTAGGCTTCAGGGGAGCTGCCCACTTCTGCTCTATGTCCCCCTCCCCTTTTCTTTTGGTCTGCAGCTTTCCAGTGTAGAAACAGGGCTGTGGTGCTGGGCAATGTCCCAGTGGCCTCTGCCCTTAGGCTTGAGTCCATCTCTTGCCTGGGATCATGGACATTCTGGCCTGCTGTGGGTTCTGTCTGCCTGTCTCTAAAACAAGAATGACATTGCTAGACCATGTTGTTAAGACAACACGAAGCTTCAGCAATCGCAGGTGATGCCATTCCCTGTGTGCACTGGGGTGGCCATGCCTGCATATCTTGGTACTGGCTGAGTCCCTGGAATCCACAGCTTCATGTTCTTCAGCAATGATGGAGCATGACCTGGAGGCAGAATTTTTAAGTGAGGGGGCTTCTCAAATCTTACCCCTTTCCCCAGCCATAGAGAGCTAGCTATCCCGGCCTTCTGCCCCTGAGAATCCCTCATGGACCCTGCCTGCCTTTCTTTGGGCAATGGCAGAGGCCCGGAGCAGAGGGAGATTCTTGTGTGGTGACATACCGTGTCCAGCCTCATGGCCTTGGCTCAGCAGGTGGGAGCAGGCAGCCTGGCTGCTCCCCCATTCACTCAGCCAGGGAGGGATTTCATTCACCCTTGGTGGATGCTCGGCCCCAGCAGGAGGGCCGGCCTGGTGCCTGATGGCAGATGGCCTCAGGGTGCCCTCCCTGCTGACTCATTGCTCTGGGCTTCTCTGGGCACCAAGGCTCTGAGCACCTCTGTGGTCCCTCTGCCCAAGTGACCCTAGACTGATTGCACACCATTCCTTCCTTCAGCTGAGTGGGCAGGAGGGGCAGAGGCAGCCCTGGGACACATGTGCTACCTCAGGGGCTCATCTTTAACCTTTGACCTCCAAGAAAAGAAGAGGTCACTCTTAGTGTGTGTGGGGGGGACACACGGCACTGGTTAGAGTGACAGCTGATCATTTGTGGTGTGGGCACACTGCACTGTGCCGCCATGGGACGAACATCCATAGGTGACTTGGCACAGTCCTGGATGAGGGTCTGAGTCAGTGACGGTCATACTGAGGTGACAGCCTGGCTCTTAGACACCCAAGGAAACCTCCCAGAAGTGCCTCTCTTGCCATTGCCAGGAAGCCTGGAGGGAGCCGGGAGGGCAGAGGGCGGCTTGACCTGCATGTCTCCTCACAGGAGGTGCATGCAGTGAGCTGGTGAACATTCTTTTAGGAGAGCAGTCTTGGACAGAGCAGTCAGGACAGGTCGCCCTCATGAGATGTGGGACCACTGTTCTCAGGCCATGCGGTGCTGACTGGGAAGGGCACCCAGCTGGCATCTTGGCACAAGCCCCCCCCCCCCCGCGCCCCCAGTCCCTAGGCATTGCTAAAGAGACGGCACTCAACTCGGCACCCTGGGGACACGTTGTTGTGGGTGGAGAAGGCTGCTGCTTTGGGCTAGTTCAGACGGGCCGTGGTGGTATGGAACTGGTGCCCAAGGCATGGCTGTTTGCGTGTGTGAAGCATCTGTGGGCTCCCTAGGCAGCAGAGGGGGCACAAGGGATCTGGGGCTCTGGGGGTGTGGCTTCACGAAGTTGTACAAGGTCACTTGGATTTGGGTTGGAGATTGCTCGGGTTTCTTGCACCCCAACCTGGGAACCCCAGGCTTACTCTGGGTGTCTCTCCAAGCCCTGCTGGGGCTGGCTGACCCCTGTGTCTCTCTGTCCTTCCTCTGCAGGGGCTGGAGTCTTCTTTTTGTCCTCAACTGAGGGAGAGCAGATCAGCTTCCTGTTTGACTGCATTGTCCGAGGCATCTCCCCGACCAAAGGCCCATTTGGACTCCGGCCAGTTCTCCCAGGTGTGTGGGGATGTGGCAGGGAGAGGCACTTGGTGGTCCAGGGACTGCTAACCTGCTTCGTCAACCTAGTGAGGAAGCCTGCCCTTTCCCATCCACAACTAAGAACCCTAGAGCCCCCTGGCCTGGGACTCTGGCACTCTAGCCACTATGCAGCCTGGGGTCCCTAAGTGGCCCCTCCTCCTGGACATGGACCTTGGTACACCAGGGCCTGTGGCCTTCTGGTTGATCTAGGTAAGCCACAGCTGCAGGGGCTGGACAGTAAGTGGCCCAAGACCCTGGAGATGGAACAGAGAGAGCCTGGCCACAGGACGTTGACATGTGGACAGCTGATCTTTCTCTGCGGCTAGGGGTCAGGACCATGGTGTCTGAGCCTGGCATTTGGGCTAGGAGACACTCTGAGGTTATCTGGTAGGCATGGGGGTTTCAAGATGTATTTGGGAGTGGGTTCCACTGAACCTGCCTCTTATCTAACCTCTAATCCCTGAAGTGGCTGAGGGTACCTTGGCCAGGTGTGCTGCTAGAGCTAAAAGATTCATGGCCCTGGCACTGAGGAACTCAGAGTGGGATGGACTTTCTAGATTCTGCCAGGCCCCGAGCTGGGGGCTTCATGTGGAAGATTCCTAATGAGGACAGGGTCCAAGTGTGACCACGCATGGGTGGTCAAAGCTCCCATCTGCTGGTTCCTTACATGGTCATCTTGCCAGGAGATGGGACATAGAGACACACTTTCAAATGCTGAGCCAAACGCACAGGCACCGGGCCCTCCATATCTGCTCCTTATCTGCTGCCCCCTCCCACCCCAGCAGCCAGTGAGATAGCTGCTGGAGAGCCTGAGGCCTTCCTTGTGGTCAGAGCCCTCCTGCAGCGCCCCCTGCTGGTACTTTTCTACCTTGCAGCTGCAGATGTACAATGTGAAGGGGAAATGCCAATGGGCCACCTGGATGTCAGGGTGTGTGTGTGTGGGGGGGGACCATGTTTTTCTCCAAGAGACACACATTTTCAGAGGTTCTTTGGAGCATATTCATCCCCCAACTCACTCTGGTGTATGGGCCGCTGTTTGTGTGCCTGGAAGCAGCACCTGGGCTTTAGGGGTACCCACTCACTCTCCAGCTTGTTTTAAATGGTTCTGGGTGAAGGGGGCACTGGACAGAACACTGGGCAGAGAATGGCATAGAAAGGTCATTTTGGAAGTGACTTGTGCTCCAACACAGGCAGGGGGTGGGCTGTCCCCAGATAGTGACTGTTGGCAGATGGCTGGGCTGATGGGGTACCCAGACCTGCTCTACAACTGTCCTTGCCAGATCATCCAGGCATGCTCAGACAATAGACATTGTACCTGAGGTGTCCTGCCTAGGTATATGGGGCCTTGGGTCACTCCAGCATGCCAACTGTGGGGATCATACTCAGCATCTAGCTAGGGCAGTTGTGGAGTCCTGGAGCGTTGACCTATGTGGGGAGGAGTTATAGGGTGACAGGACTCTGGGTGGTATGGCATTAAAGTCCCACAGCTGTGGGGGGCTCCTGGGATGCGCACTTGAGCAGCACCCCACCATCTAGGTTTCCTGGTGTGCTATTGTGTGGACTCTCACTGGGATCAGACCCACTGAGGCCCCAGCCCTCCACATGAAGACCAGAGCACAGGGGGGCAGGAAGGAAGGGAAGGATCGAGGATTCTGGCGACTCCTGCTCAGAGGACAGCCATCATGGTGCTTTAGGGACCCTTCCTAATTGGGGGGCACTACTGCTGGAGGCTAGGCATTCGTAGCTGAGGAAGCCCATGGCAACAAGATGCCAATCGTAGACACCCCCCTCTGGGTTCTCTGGGACCAACTGTGCTCCAAGGTTTTTCTGAAGGAAGGAGGCTACTGTGAGCTAGAAAGGGGTGGCCAGAGGCTTCCCTTACAGGTTAGCTTTTCTACACATCAGTGGCTGTGCACAGAACATACACAGGGCCAGAGGAGCAGGTCCCCACTGCTTACAGCCTGGCTGCCTCTCCGCCAAATGTTGACATTGTCAAGGGCTTCAGGTAGGCAGTGTGGATATGGGCAAGGAGTACCTTATGTGAGCACCCCAGCAAAGACAGCAGGGGAGGGTGCCTGGGGAGGACAGGGTGACAACTTTCCTGCTCTCTGTCACCTATTGCAGTATAGCTCAGGGATGGCGGATGATGAGGGGCCAGGAAAAGATCCCACCCAACCTGGGAGCTGCAGGCAGTAACAGGATTATGGAGGCATTTCATTTGGACCAAAGTGGGGCTCCTGAGAAGTGGGTGTGGTGAGCTAGGGCTGGGCAGACCTCTCCTAGATCAGGGGAGCTGTGGTACTGAGGAAGTGCCATTGCTGGCAAGGAGAGGCTCATGCCTGGTGAGGGTGAGGAAGAGGAGTCAGTCTATTTGCCTTAGTGGGGGTTGTCGCAGGGACAGTGACCCAGGCTGGGCAGAAGTGGAGCCATCCTCAGGGACAAGGACCTGAGCTGGGGGTTGTACACTGACAGGCACCTCTGCTGGACAGATAGGGGACCAACTGCAGGGACAAAGACTCGGGCTGGGTAGTTCAGGCGCATGTCCACAGGGACAAGAACATGGGCTGGGCAGATGGGGGCTTGTCCACAGAGAGGGACCTAAGTTGGGCATCTAGGGGGTCTGAGTGACTGGTTTGGGTATCCTGTGTTTGATGCCCAGCAGCTGGGTCAAGGTGCAGGGCAAAGCTGGGCCTCCTAGGGGCTAGCTCAGGGTGCCTTGGCTCTGAAGGTTCTAGGCTCACCAGGTATCCTGGTGGTGTAGGGGTGGAGTGTGGGGGTGGTGTAGGGTGGAGTATAGGGTGATGTAGGGTGGAGTGCAGTGGTTGTTGCCTCACTGACCCTTTTCTCTGCACAGACCCAAGCTCTGGGGGGCCCACAGCCTCAGAGGAGCGTGTTGCCCAGGAGGCGCTGGAGGCCCTGCAGCTGGAGAAGCGACTTAGCCTGCTTTCACACTCCGGCAGGCCAGGCAGTGGAGGTAGAGTCAGTGGTTGGCTTTGTCTGGGCTGCTGGGACCTCTCTCTAAGCACTCACCTCCCCACTCCACTCAAGGCCGGGCAGCAATCTGTCTGCATGGGCTGTGGGAGTCTCCTTGTGTGCGTACTCATGACCCTTCTGACCTCTGCGGGCAGCTGTCATCCATCTCAGTCAGGCCTTTTCCCTCTTGTTCATTCTTCATCTACCCATGCATCCACCCACCCACCCACCCATCCGTTCATCCATCCATCCACCCATCCATCCATTTATCCATCCATCCATCCATCCATCATCCATCTCTCCAACCATCCATCCATCCATCCACCCATCCATCCACCCACCCACCCACCCATCCATTCATCCATCCATCCATCCATCCATCCATTTATCCACCCATCCATCCATCCATCATCCATCCATCCATCATCCATCCATCCATCCATCCATCCATCCATTCATCCATCCATTCATCCATCCAACCACCATTCCTCCTGCTCATTCATTCATTACCCATTCATTTAGCCACTCATTGCTCCCCTTCCTACTCATTCTTTCTGCTTTCTCCTATTCATTCATTTATTCTCCCTTCATCCATTCACTCGCTATCCTCTAAACATATCAAATGACAAGAGCCGCTGTGATGGGAAGTGTGACCTGGGTTTGAATTCCTTCCCACCCATTCATTAGCTGTGTGGCCTGGGCAAGGCCCAAGCGGTCTGCAATTGAGTCTTACTGTCTATTTTCTGACAAAATGCTCAGGGGCCAACTGAGCTGGCTTCCCAGGAGCAGACAGTCCTCTACAGCTACTTGTCAATGGGAAGAAGGATGGAAGAACCTGGACACTCAGCCGTGGCCGAGGCCGGCTTGGCAGGCAGGCTGTACCGGGCCTTCCTAGGCCAGAGAAGCACTGCCTGGTGCCTCTCACCACTCCCAGGGATGGTGGCCCTCTCCCCTCCCAGTCCCTCCCTCTAGAAGCAGGGACTCTTAAGCTTGCAAGAAGCTTTCTTATCTCCTTAGAGGGTTCGCCTCTGGCACCTGCTCGGTTAGTCCTGCGAGCTAGGCCAGGCAAGCTGAGAGGGAAAGCAAAGGTGGCATCTTTTTTTTTTTTTTTTTTCATTCACACAGAGTGAGGCAAGGCAGAGTTCCTGAGGCAGGATGGGAGGGTAGTGGACAGGACTGGATCCCAGGCATGCTCTTGTCCTCAGAGGCTCACAGCCCCATGAGGCGATGAGGCAGTGATGGGGTCAGAGGAAGGGGCGGTCTAGTGTGTGAGCGTACCTGGGGTGGTGAAGGGGGATGGGTTGCCCCGGGTCTTGGCTGGGCTGGAAGGTGGCCAGGATGGTAGTCAGAGTAGTTGGGTGGAGAGAGGAGGAGGAGGAAGCTCAGGGGCTGGGTCATAGACACACAGCATGGAGGGACTGTAAGCAGGTACCTGCCTCAGAGGGACTGTGGAGGTGAGGGGGAGTCGGGGAGACTCAGACTGGGACCAAGGAAGTGCCTGGGGGAGGGAAGGCTCTAGAAAGGCTGGCATTGAAAGCGGGCCAGCGTCGGATGAGGGGAGGGCTGTCGTGCAGATCCTGGCCTTCTGCTCCAGCGTCCAGGTGTAGAGGCTAGGAAGAAGTGGGCTGTCTGTCACAGCATGCTCACTGGAGAGCACCCCTCACCTCCGTGGACCCCCCCCAGCAGCCTCAGTTTCTGCTTTGTCTCAGGGGATGATCGAAGCCTGTCCAGCTCCTCCTCCGAGGCCAGCCACTCAGACATCAGTGCCAGCAGCCGCCTCACTGCCTGGCCAGAACAGTCCTCGTCCTCAGCCAGCACATCACAGGAAGGGCCAGGCCTGGTGGCTGCCCAGGGTCCAGGAGAAGCCATGCTGGGAGCCTCCAGGCCACCCCTCAAGCCGCTGCGGCCGCGGCAGTTACAGGAGGTCGGCCGCCAGAGCTCCTCCGACAGCGGCATCGCCACGGGCAGTCACTCCTCGTACTCCGGCAGCTTCTCATCCTACGCTGGCAGCAACCTGGACGTGTGGCGGGCTGGAGAGGAGTTTGGTTCTCTGCTTAGCCTGCCGCCTGGAGCCAGTGCACCTGAGCCCAAACTGTGTGCCTGCCCACCTGGGGTGGCTGAGTACCAGGTGCCCACCTCATTGCGACAGCACTATGACACGCCTCGAAGCCTGCGCCAGGCCCCCAGAGACCCAAGCCCAGCCTCTCAGGGCAGCTCTGACCACAGTTCAGCCACGGACTTGGGTGGTCAGGCACCCCCGGGGTGTCCCGCCAGTTGCCTGGGAGCTCGAAGACGGGGCCAGGCAACAGAAGGCCCCGGCAGTGAAGCCACGCTGCCCAGTCCGTCCCCTGGCGAGTCCTGGGAAGCAGGCAGCCCCCATGCAGGGCCACCTCCGGCTTTCTTTTTGTCATGTTCAGTCTGTGGCGGACTCAAGGTAAAGCCCCCTCCCTGAGAGAGCAGGCTGGCCACTGCTGCCAAGGGCTGGATATGGCCCCTCCAGATAGGAGAGGGGGGCCCCTAGCCTCTTTGCAGAGGGGGTGCTCCGTGATGTTTTGAGAAGCCACCAGACCTGTAGCAAGGGCCTCAGGGGCAGGATGACATCCATAGGGCTGTCCTCCCCTAGGTGGGTGCTATGGCTGCCAGTGACGGAGGCTGGGCAGGGTGGGGTCAGGAGAGCCACTGATCCAGCTTCTCCCGCTGTCTCCTCACCTGTGGATCAGGCACGGGGGTGCTCTGCCCACGGGGGGGCTGGGGGCTCCTGCCAGGTATTGCTGCTGGGGACAGAAGACCTCCATGGCTGGGGTCAGCTCTCAGTGACGAGGCTTGGCTTGGCCCACTGCCCTCTTCCTGGATAACTGATCCTCTGTCATTCTCGGTCAGTTCTGCAGTAAACAGACACACTTCCTACCCCAAATCAAATCTACCGCAGCTGCTCTAGAATCCCTAGTTCTGTGAGCCAGCAGCTCTGTGTTTGTAGCCCATAGACTGGGCACGGTCTTTACGTGATCTGCTTTACACGTCACCCTGCAGCACCCACAGGTGGGGTCGGTATCCCATCCCACGGGGGAGGAAACTGACGCTCAGGAGGCTCCATGACTTGAGGGGCCTGTGACTTTGACCCCCCTCTTCACTTCAGCCCGCTCCTGGGCTCCTGGAGGACTCTGGGAAGTGGGCTGCCTGACAGGAGTGTGCAGCACCCCCAGAGGTTGAGTTTTCCCCAGGATCCCAAAGTCAGTTTGCTGGAGGGTCTCTTGCAGAACCTCCCGGCAGTGTTCCCCTGTGCCTCCTTGCTGGGACCAGGAAGCTGGTGGCCAGGACCAGGTGGAAGAAATCGGGGCTCCACCGGCATGTAGAGGGCTCTGGCCCTACCCACGGGTCACCCTGGCTCTGTGTTCGGGTGTCTTCCACCCCAGACTGTGTGTTCCCTTGCACGAAGCAGGGGTGCTCCGCTTCCCAGTGTTGGGGGGTCGGTGTGGCTGTGCCCACCCTGTGTGAGTCTCTCCATTGGCACCTGCAGTTCCGATCCGGCAGGCTGACTCATCTGTACCTGCGCTGTCGGCCGATCATGTTGCTCTATTGCGTTTTTAAAGAAATCTGTTTGTAATTACATTCTCAGACTGGAAATAAAGTTATCTTTTCTTACTGCCTTGCCTTGTTCCATTTGGCTGACCCCCGCTCCAGGCCTGGGACTGAAGAAACTCCAGGGGCCTGGCCCTCAGCTTGAGGTCTGGGTGTTGCGGATGTGGCAAAGAGGACAGGCGGCTTTGGATAGCCCTGGGGCTGGGTACATGGTGTGCGCATGTGGTGGGGGGTGGGGAGTGTTATGACTGTGTGTATTGTGTGTGACTTGTGGAAACCACACTGCGATCAGCAGTGGTCATTCAGACTCAGGCCCAGGGCTGTCTATGCACAGTGTTGCATGTTTCATCCCCCCATGCAGGGCTTGCTCTGAGTTCAGACTCACCCAACCCCTAACCCAACCCAACCCATTTCCCCTGTGCGGAGAGAGCTCCAGGGAGCAGTGCCTCCCTGCCTGCCCGTTCCCATCCTTGCTGCTGGAAGTTGGGAGCCTGGCTCCCCCAAGGTGCTGTGTAGGGAAGAGCAGGCTTTGGGGGCTTGGCCACATTCACTGCCCACTGACTGGGTGACCCTGAAAGTCACTGTACCTCTAGGAGCCTCAGTTTCCTCCTCCATTGATGGGTAACCGTCCTCACCTCATGGGCTGGCCCAAGGGTCTGATGAGATCCTGTGTAAGCACCCAGCAGATGTGTGTTCACTAGAGGGAGCTAGGCATTCTTCCTGCAAAAGGACTGTGGATGCAGATTCCCGGGACCAGGGAGCCGGCAGGATGGCCAGCCAGAGGGGCAGGCACTGCTCTGGCCCGAGGCCCTTGTTCTCCATTCTTAGCTCTCTCTGTCTCCATGGGTCCTCCCTGGAGCAGGCAGAGGGACACCCAGGTGGGCAGGTCTGTTAAGGGTGAATCCATGCTGTAGGAGCCTGAATGTCCATCCTTCTTCCACCTGAGGCAAGTTGGCCTGGACCCTGGACCTGGGTCCTGTGGGCAAGAAGTCCTCACTTTAGGAAGGGAGCACCATGACACACTGGGAGAAGGTGGACGTCAAGTGGAAAGTCTCCAGGGGAAGACCATCCCAGGCTCTTCTGCACCAGTCCATCCTCCAAGACACTAGAAGCCCCAGCAGTTGGCAAAGGCGTCAGTGATTAGGGTCTCATGTGGAACCCAGGGTCACCAGCCACGACTCCTCTCCATGAGATGGGGTGGCTGATATGATGGGGGCTTCCCCTCACATCAGGGGCTCACAGATAGGTAGACACTGGTCTCAGACCTTGCCTCCTCATGCATTGGCCACCCAAGGACCTAAGCTGATCATGTGCTTTATTGTCCTGTATGGCCCACCCATGCTAAGGTCTGGTGTGGATCCTGTAGCCATGGCCTTCCCTGAGCAGTTGCCCTTTGTGGGGGATGTTGAGGACTTGACTTCTTGCTTGGTGACAAAGTACACCCTCAGAGGCCTGTATGTGGTTGGCTCTGGCTCTAGGGTGTTTGATTCTTATCCTGGGGGCTGCTTTATACCTGCTTGAGTCCCCAGGCCTGCACAGGGCTCTGTTATAAATGGCGATGCATTCAGATCCATGTGGTCTGCTCAGGGGTATCCCTGTCTGTACCCTAGGCATGTGACTATCACTCTCAAGGCTGGCTTGAACAGTGCTGGGTGTCAAGTTCCTGTCCCTGTCCCCAAGAGGTCCCACTACCAAGTTGCTCCTTCAGAGTCGCTGGGATTGTGGGACTCTGTGTTACCTGCTCAGGACAGGCCCTTTGACAAGGGGCTGGGGATGTTTGGAGCCCTGGGCATGTTCAGCCTCCACTTTCTCCCAGCTGGAGTGGGGAGGTCTGTGCATGAGATAGCAAATGCACCCAGCTGCGGCCTTCATCCTCCCCCATCTGCCCCTACAGCGACTCTAAGCTGTTTCTTCTCATGTTCCATCAACTCCCTGATCCGGTTCTGCCTGAAACAGAGGCCTGGGACTCATTCCGGAGTTGGGTGACTGTTTGTCTCACTGATGGGCTCCCAGGAGGGCCCTGTAATGTATGGGACAATATGCCAGAGCTGGAGAGTAACACTGTGGTCCCTATAGGCCACGTAGGCATGTTATTCAGTAACCATGTACTACTCAGGTGATGGGCAGTAGGGTCTAGCTGGGCCATAAGTACTGATGAGGAGTCATCTTGGAGTCTGGCTGAGCCATAAGCTAGAAGGGAGTAGCTTGGGGACCTTGTTTGTAGACTTTCTTAGAACACCACTGGCCTCAGCTGTCTCCTGGATTGTCATGTCAAACCATTGCTTGGGTGGTCGGGGCTATGAGGTCTAAGAACAGAAGGGTCTGGAGGACAAAGCTGTGTTCCTCCAGACTGTAGGTTGCCCAGATCTTCAGACCTATGCCATTTTTGGAGTTACCATTCCATTTCTTGGGGTCCAGGGGGGCAGGGCAAAAGTTGAGTGGGATGTACACACTAACCCCTGTTGTCTTTGGTCTAGGTCATGGCTACTTCATCCTCTGGACTCACTGTGACATATCCAGGTAGGCACCTGGCTTTGAACTCCCCGTACTCACAGTGTAGGGATGAAGGGTTTAGAGCTAAGAGGTAGCCCTGTTGGATGGGAAGGGTATGGGTAGTGGGGTGACAGTGGCATTTGGGAAGCCTGGAACAGGTGAGTAGGGTGAGGTGGTGAGCTAAAGAGAGGTACATGGCTCTGGAGCATGACTGAGTGGCCTGGCTGGGAGTGGCCAGTGACAGCTGGACCATGGTCTGTAGCTCAGGAGTCAGATTGGAGGGGGTTGGCCCCAAGCTCTAAGTGTGTACCAGCTAGTGAACAGGCAAGGAAGCAATGGCCCCCAGAGGTTCCAGCTCCTCAGGACAGGTTTGGGGAAGAGTGGGAATGCCAGAGTACTCAGCAAGCAGGGGACACTTCTTGGAAGAAGCCTGGCTGTCTGCCGATGAAGGCTGGAGGGTGCTAGCCCAACCTGGGAGGGTTGGGAGAGCCTATAGGTCCCGGGTGCCTGACCTTGGGCCAGGTGACTGGAGGCCAGGGATACCTCTTTCCTTGTCTCCTCCTGCGTGGGTGCTACAGATCCCTGCGTCTTTTTTTCCAGAGGTGAGTGGTGCCTTTGGAAGGCCAAGCCCTGTAGGTAAGATAGAGAGTCCAGTCAGACCCAAGGAGACACTGGGGCAGAAAGCTGTGGGTGGGGCCACAGGCAGGCCACAGGGGTCAGCACCCTGGCCAACAGGAAAGTCCCAATCCCATCTGTTTGCTGGGGTTTTCTGTCTGGAATGCTCAGCCTGAATTCTGGGTCCATGTGAAGCCTATGGTCCAGGGTCCTCCCTGACATCATGGAGTAGCAGAGGTGGCCCTCACTGTTTAGACATCTCCTTCTACTACCACCCCACTAGGGATGCCAGGATTTTACTTTAATACAGTGGATAATCCACCCCAGGACCAAAGAGATGGAGACGGTACCACTTGAGGACAGGGCCCTTTCCCTCTGAGGGCAAGGGTAGGGTGACGTGGGAGGTAGGGCCCTGACTCTGATGAGGGACGTGTGAGTTCGCCCTGGACCAGACTAGGAACAGAGATGTGCCTGGTTATAGTCGGATGGTGGTCAGCCTGCCGCGGTGGGAAGGAAGAAGGCGATACTATCCTGTTGTCTGTTTTGTTCTAGTAAACATGTGAGTTCTAAAACGATGCTGCCAAAGCCAAAACTGAATTAAAGTCAGGAAGGACACGGGGCATAGCGAACCCACACCTTCCTGGCCAGCGGGTCACGTCCCTTTGGGAGGAGACTGAGTTTAGCGGGAGAGCAGGCACTCACTGTGTTGGAGTCTCAACAGCACCCCTCTGGCCTTTGACTTCCCATGTCAGCTGGCTTCGAACTTTTCATCTAGTTTAGGCTTCAGGTTTCTCCTGCTTCTCCCTGCTTCTCTTCAACTCACCTGTCCAGACCATCTTGGAAAAAGTAGATTCAATCCCAGACAGAGTGTCTAGACTCAGGGAACATATTCAAGCCCACTAAGGCACAGAGCCCAGCCCCAGCTCTCCTTTTTTGGCCTTCAAAGGCTCAGTGCTGAAGTCTGACATCTCTAGTCTCTAGACCCCAGACCCCAGCCCTGGCTCACCCATCCCCTCTCCTCCTTCCCTTAGCCACGCCCCTTCTCCAGCCTGCCAACCCAACCCTGGGAAGGCCTGCTGTGGGCTCTGCCTCCTTGCTTGGATGGCCAGTGCAGGCTGGCCCTGGCTTTCCCTCCACCCTGCTGGTTAAGCCTCCTTGGGGAGGTTTTCTTCGGCTATGATGGATTCTCTGTGCTACAAATGCATCAGATTCTCAGAAATCCTTTGCTTCAGATCCGAGATTTTCTGGGGATTGAAACACTGAGCCTACCTTTGCTTGCCAAGGGCTAAGACAGGACGTTCTGTGAGCGAGCAAAGCCAGCTCCCTGATTGGAGGCCAGCACATGGATGTCCCACTTGGTGCTGTGCAGCAGCTGAGCCTCACCATAGCATGGACAGTACAAGGACCTCAAGACCTCCAAGGACATGTACTGTGTAGTGGGGGGTCTGCCGTGGGGTCCCCAAGTCTGGGGGATGGGGACAGAACTGCTCACTTGTGTCAGTGAATAGTCAGAAGTGGACCCCCCCACTACAACCCTGGGGTCTCATCTGGATATACTGGCTGATGGATGTGTGACTTGGGAACTTGGGGTTTCTCCGTGAAGGGCAAACGGTTGCCACATTCCACACTAGCCATGTTGGTGGCAGGAAGGGGAGGAGGAAGAAGAGGAGGAGGAGAGGCGCTGGTGGAAACTTTCAGATGGAGCTGGGTCAGGGTGGTCGGGATCCTGGGGCAAACAGGTACAGCCAAGCCTCTCTCTGGATACGGGGTGCAGAACAAGCTTACCTGTGGGGCCCTCAATGTCCCCATCCTGAGCCCCAGCCCTGAACTGGATTCTGTGGGCTTGGCATGTGCTATGGGGCAAGGATTTCAGCAGCCTGTCTATGTCTAAGCCGCTGGCGCTTGGAATAGAGGATGACTGCCCTTGCCTATGACTCTGAAATGGTACTTTGTGTCCCATCCTATATGACTGTTCTCACCCCAGAGGGACAGGATTATGAGAGTGACTCTGGAGAAAGGTCTTAATTTGCCAACTGTGTGCAGAGTCCCTGGGCCTGCACAGAAGGGGCCGGGGCCCACCCAGACAGCTCACTTGGCAGTGAGTCTACTGTGAGCACCGCCAGCTGGGCATGGAGGGTCCCTGGCTCCTTGGCAGCTAGCACCATGGGCTTTGCACACATTGGCGGTCAACTGTGAGGATATGGGACAAGGGCAAGACATGGATTCTTAGAAGAAAATTCAAACTGCTGAGGTGTCCGAGAGGGAGAGGGTGCCTGTTTTTCTGGGGACAGAGATGGAGTTGTTGGCTATGATCTGCAGAGGGGTCCTGGTGGGAATTATCCTCAATAGTGGAGATTACTCCAGCAGCAGCCTGTAGCAGGTGGAAGACCCAGGACAGGGAAGAGGGTCAGACTGAGGCAGCAGGAATATGCTGACCCTGGAGAAGCGGGGTGAGGGGTGGGGTGGGGTGGGGTGGGGGGTGAGGAGATTGCACTAGAGGGTGCCCGGGAGGTTGTGAGATGAGGTTTGACTGGACAGAGAACAGGCCTTGTGGGATCCGTATGCATGAGTGCCTGGACTGGGGAGGGGGCAGTGTGTGAGTCCTAGGATCATAGCCCTGGGCTGAATGGAAAATGGGAGACCTGGGTAGGGTCTCCAGGGTGAGGTAGAAGATGGGAAGAGGGGACTGGGCCATGGAGGGTGGTCTTGGGGGGGTTGGCTGTACAGCTCCCAGCTACATCTCAGGGATTCAGAGGACCTCTCTCCACAGGATCTCCAGGGCCCATGGCTGCTGACAGCCCAGGGCCGGAACGACCACGCAGCGAGATGCCCACGTATGTGAATATCCCCATCAGCCCCACCTCCCGACTGCAGCTGCACTACATGGGCCTGGAGTTCCCAGGGGCCAGTGGGGGTGTGCGAGGTGAGTTCCCACAGGGAGGCCTCAGAGGGGAGTTGTGACCTTAGCTTTGGGCCTGAGCCCCAGGCACATCAGCCCTGGCAAGGGAGCACTTCCTTCTAGCTTGCAAATGACCTTTCCAAAAGCCAGGACCCTTAGGTCCTGCCCTGGGCTGCCGCCCATGTCCTGACATGATTACTTGGTTGGTTGGGAGTAGAGAAGGATCAGAGTGCCCACTGGTCCTATCACCTGACACACCTGAGACCCGGCCAGGGGCAGCTGGGCCGGGGGCCATTCCTGCTGGGTCCACTCACAGTGGGTTGCTTTCAGGGGCCAGCTCCTCCTCCCGCTATGCCCAGATTGACATCACAGCTACCGAGACAGCGCATCGTGTGGGGGTCCGGCATGCACAGACTCGGGAGGAACGATTGCCAGAGTTGGAGCAGCGGAAGAAAGGACCCTGAGGCTGCAGCTCAGGTTGAGGCTGGCTGGGCACCTGGCCAGCTGGAACATCTGATGTGGCCGGATAGGCCATCCCCTTTTGCAGATAATGGCCCTTGTGGCTCGGGGCCCTGGCTAGTCTGTACACTCTGGTGGTCAGTGATTGAAGCTGAGTCTTAGTCTCCAATGGAACCTGTGGTTGGTCTTTGTGCATTGGAATGAGCGGTCGAAGGTTCTGGGCCCGTACCCTATCAGTTCATTCCGATGTGTGAAAGCCATGTAGCAGCCTCCTCTCTGCCATCAGGGCCTCTTGCCTCACTGGTGCCCAAGAGCGACCTTTCCTTTGGCCTGAACAAGTTCTCCTAGGCCATGGAGCCACCAAGGGACCTATCTCTAGGTGTTGGTAGCCTCAGTACCTGCCACAACAGCAGAGCCAACCAGTGGAAACCGGAAACAGTCTCCCAGGCCTGGAATGCAAGCTGCACTCCCCATCCCGGATGAGGTGACCGCAATGACAGTATCAACAGAGCACTCTGAACCAGTTCTGTACTGTAGAAGGACCTGTGACTTGTAACTGCCATACCACTGACTGGCTCCGGGGCTGGGATCCTGCAGCCTCCCCTACCCGCCTCCTCTTGCACAGTCAGGGGCCGGGGCCCACCCAGACAGCTCACTTGGCAGTGAGTCTACTATGAGCAGCCAGGCCCTGTACCTTGAGGTGAAGGCCATGGTGGGCACAGGACTATTCTTGTCATCTTGTTGGGACCTCTTCCAGCCAGTCGGGTAAACTGTTTTAAATCTCTACTGTTATATTTTTAACAATCCATATTATTTTCCAAAGCTGTGAGGTCTTTCACATGTGATTTCAGCCCTGGACTGGATGGGGCCAACATCTTGCTCTGGGCCAAGGGGTTCTGGGATGGGGGTGTATGATGATGCCATGTTGGCATTTGCAGATGTCCCTGTTGTTTGGGGCAGCACATGGTATTTCCAGGACTGAGTTTCTGGGGTGTCAGGTCTCCTGGCCTGCCTCAGCCCTGAGGGGAGAAGCTTTGGCAGGATCCAGTCGCAGTCCATCACATCCTTCTCTTTGCCCTTCTGCTTTTCTGCCTCCAAGAAGTTTACCAGGAGTCCCTTAGGTCTGTGGTTGGCTGGGGTGGGGTCAGCACTCAGTTCCTTTGTGGGGCCCTGGTGTTGGCAGGTACTAGAACATTAGCCTGAGTGTCTCCTCTGCTGACTGGTAGAATGTGACTATGTGACATGAGAGAATTGTCATCCCTGGGCCAGCCTGGCAGCCAGGGCAGATGCTTTATCTAGAGAATGAGCCTTGGGGTCTGTCCCTCTAGACGAGGGCTGTAGTTCTGTGATGAAAAGGCAATGTGGTAGGAGGGACATTTCATCCAGGACTGGTGACTCTGCATGACTTGGGCCATATGTTTTCTGCACTGGGATGCCTAGGGGATCCCCTAGAAAACTACTCATCTGAAGAGTGAAGTGGGCCTGGGGCAGCCATGAGTGTGGGAAGCCATAGTAGGGAACAGATCCAGGCTTACCTCGGGGCTCCGGCAGATGTGGCCAGTGGTGGCACAGGGAGGGTCCCACCTTGGAGCCCAAGCCATGTTAGGATTGTCCAGAGAAGGGTGAGGCTACCTCTGGTGGATAGCTCTGCTATGATAGCAGGTGACCTCTAGCCCAGGTAGCCTTAGGGCTGCCAGAGTTCAGCCAGCCAGGAGAGCCCATTGAGGTCACAGCCATAGCCCATTGAGGCCACAGTAGAGAGTCACTTGACCTCCTTTCAGAGTTGGATATCCAGAGCCTGTCCCCGGGGCCATCCCTATAACACTGTCAGTGGTGTGGAGTCCCAGGCCCACTCTGTGTGTGGCTAGAGAGGTCTCAGGAACAGTGGCCTGCAGCTGACGACTAGGAAGAGGTCCTTAGTGGGCCCGTGGGTTGAGCACCTGCCTCTCCAGGCCCTTGTCTCTGCCCTGCCCACTGCCTTTTTGGCTGCCTGCCTGTACCCTTTCCTCACACTGTCCCTGGATACCGTCTTATCCTGACTTCTCTTCAGTCAGATCAGGAACTCTGCCTTGGATCCTTTCTGGGCTGTGTACCCAAGCCCAGTTCTAGGCCAGGCCCAGTACTGGTTGGTGTCTGAGTCGCGGGAGGACTTTGGGACCAGGAACCGTACACACAGATCCTGACAGAAGAGTGCATCTACTTCTACATCAGCCACCAACACCTCACACAAGGACTCCTGTGCCCTCCACGCTGGGCCAGGGAACACACGTCAGGTGGGCAGGCTTATCTCGGAACAGGGAATATGTTGAAGCACTTGGCATCTATCTGTGTGGCACACAGCTGTGGATGAGGCAGCCGAGTGTGCAAGTGGAGCGAAGATCTGGAGACAACACTCAAGAGCACGTGGTGGTACACTGCTGCAGAGCACAGTGGACTGAGGCATGTCTGCCTCGCCAGTCCCGGAGCCCACTTATAAAATAAACACACCGACTCATATTTAAACTGCTCGGCCATTAGCTCAGGCCTACCATTGTCTAGCTCTTACTCTTACACTAAGCCCAATTTTGTTAATCTATATGTCGCCACGTGTTCCGTGGCTTTACCTGCTGCCTCTCCATGATGCTCCCTGGACGGCAGCTGGTGTCTCCCCTCCCTGTCTTCCTGTCCTTTCCTCTCTCCTCTCTGTTAGTCCCGCCTATACTTCCTGTCTGGCTACTGGCCAATCAGTGTTTTATTTATCAAACAATCATCCACAGCAGTGTGGGGCATCCCGGGAAGGCTCACAGGAGAGGACCAAGGTTGGCCTGGGAGGCAGCCAGGGTGGGGAGGGTGGGAAGGTTTCCTTCAAGCTTTTTCCTGCAGGGCATTTAGGCCCACAGAAGAGTGTAAGATTGGTGCCATTGGGCACTCAGGATCCAGCTCAAGGAGCAGGCAGCTCATGCCACCCACACGTGGCCATTGGCTAACCCAAGGGCACCAATGCCCGCAGCTCCTCATATGACTGTCTCAAGGGAGTTAAACGTTTAGGAACTGAGTGAGGTGGCTCCATCGGTGATACCAGCTCATGGGAAGCTGAGGCAGAATGATTGCTGGAACTTGAGCCAGCCTGGGTAAACTGGTGTGTTTTAGAACAGTCAGGGAGTCTTGTAGAACATGAGAACCAGAGTTCAGATCCTCAGGACTCACAGAAATGCAGGCGGGGGTGGGGGATCTCCTATCATCCCAGCACTTAGGAGGCTTCCCTGGGGGTGAGGGTGGGGAGGAGAATGGCTAGCTAGATAGGGCAGAATTGGTGAATTCCAGGTTCAGTGACCCGAACTTGAGTATGATTGAGAAAAACACCCAATACTAACTTTGGGCCTCCACTTATATACACACACATGTGGTAATATAGCCTCCATATTTGCCCACACATGTAAACATAAACACATACATATATACACACACCACACACATATGCCAACATTTTTATTTTATACAAATGGCATTCTAAGTAGGCATTGCCTATCTCCTCTTAATACACGGAGAAGCCACACTGCCACTGTATCTGGTAGCACACTGTATATGGGGACCTTGGTGGGCCGTTGGGCATTACTGATGAGTGTGGAGGCTCAGGTGGCTTGTCCTGCTGCAAGATGCTGCCTCCTGGTGGGTGGTAGACTTTCTGCCAGGCTGAGCAGGTGCACATCTTGGGTTCCTGTCAGATTGGTGTGCCTCATTAGTTAGGAGTGTCTGGAGGACTGGGTAGACACGCCATCAGGGTGTGTGCTCAGAGTGTCTGAGTCCCATTTGCATTTCCCTCATGATCGGATAAGCAGCAGCTTTTCAAGCACTCCAACAGCTCCATGGCCTCAGAATGGCCCCTTTGCATAACCTGCTTGTGTGTTTAGCTTTCCTGCATTGGGCTGCTTATTAAGACATCATAGATGGACACTTGCTAATGTTTTTCATCAGAGATGCTTCTCAAGTCAGATACATCTATGAGAGATTTGTGTTGTTGTTGAGACAGGATCTCATGTTGCTCTGGCCAGCCTTGATTTCACTGTGTAGCCAAGGATGACCTGAACTTCTCATTGTCCTGCCTTTATCTCCCAAGTACAGGATCACAGGCTTGGGTCACCACACTCAGTTTATGTGATTAGAGACCAAACCAGGGCTTCGTGCATGCTAAGCAAGCGTGCTAAGCACCTGCTGAGCCACATGCCCAGCTCCCAGATCTAGACTTGTTACTAAAGATAGCAACCCTGTTCAGCCTCCACTTTCAACTATCTTAAGACAATTTATATTTATGTCACTATATGAACATGCTCATCTTGTGGCCACTTGTTAGTTCAGGTCCTGCACATCCATTCACCCCATGGACTGTGAGGATGCTCTGTGCCACCTGCATGTGCATATCCTCTGTGCCTGCTGCATGCACACATCCTCTGTGCTTGCTGCATGCAGCTCTCGTGTTTAACCAGTGTTGACTGAGAGCTCAGGGTGATGCCTCACGTCACTCCGCTTCCCTCCTTGCTGAAGTTCAGCTCTCTTTGGAATGAAATTTTCTGTGACTCACCGTTCATACACGGTCAACTCTCATCCAGTTGTATAAACTCATCTCAGAATGTCCCAACACAGGCTGCAACCTTTTTTTGTTGCTGAGTCTCTTCTCGAAGCTTCTGAACTACCCCAGTCAAGGGCTTACTGTTAGCGGCTGTTGGTATCTTGCAGTCTTCAGGCAGCTTTCCTGGGTCCCATGCTTTCTTGACGTAAGCTTTCATCTTCAGGAGCATACCCCCATCAGCAACTGAAGAGACAGCGTGTAACTGATGCTTTGGCACCCATCTCTGGAGATTAATCTTGTCTTGCATTCAGCTGTGTTAGCTCAGCAAAGTGTTGAGATTCACACATGTCGTGTTAGCAAGTCACTCATTTAAATACTGCCCCAGCACACAAACACACCATATATTATGCCTCTAACACTCCTGCTCAATGAGGTTGCTTACAGCTGGGCCAGCTGGGAGTAAACTTGCTGGGGAATTCTGATCTTAGGACATGCCAGTGCCGATTCAGGTTGTCTGGTAGAGTGGTGTTCAAATTTAGGGAGGCTTCACCATTGCACATTACATGCACGCACGTAAGCACACACACACTCAAGCACTAGGGCCTGGGGACTCTGAGCTCAGCC